GTCCACCTGGGACAGAGAGGCTGGTCATAGGGGGTTGACCTAGGACAGAGAGACTGGGCACCATGGAACCCACTTTGGACACCAGAGAAGCAGGGCCCCACATGGGATCCAGAGAAGCCAGGCGGCACCAAGTGTCCACCTGGGAATGAGAGGCTTGGGACTACGGGGTTCACTTGGGGCAGAGAGGCTGTGCACCAGGAAGCCCATTTGGGATGGATAACCTGGGCAACAGGGGGCGACCCTGGGACAGAGAAGTCAAACACTAAGCGGCTCACCTAGGACAGAAAGGCCGGGCACCCCAGGCCCACGGGGTATGCAGAGGTGGGGCACCAGGTAGCCCACTTGGAACATCCAACCTGAACACCTGGGGGCTGACCTGGGGCATACAGGCCAGGTACCAGGGTGACCACTTGGGATCCAAAGCAGACAGGCACCCAATGTCCACCTGGGATAGAGGCTGGTCAGCAGGGAACCCACCTGGAGCAGAGAGGTTGGGCACAATGGGGCCATTGGGTCATACCACTGCGATACCTGGGTGCTGGTCTGGGGCAGAGAGGCTGGGCACCAGGGGACCCACTTGGAATCCAGCAAAACCAGGCTCCCAGTGTCCACCTGCGAAAGAAAGGCCAGTCACCAGGGAACCCACTTGGGACAGAAAGGCAGGGAACCAAGGTGACCACCTGGGTTGGAAAGACCGGGCACCAATGAGCCCACCTGGGGAAAAGAGGCCAAGCAAAATGGGTCCCACCAGGGTCATACAACCGGGACACCTGCGGGCCGACCTGGGTCACAGAGGCCAAGCACCAGGATGCCCACTTGGGATCCAGAGAAGCCAGGCACGCAGTGTCCACTTGGGATAGAGGCTATGCACCATGGTACCCACCTGGGCAGAGGGGTTGGGCACAACGGGGCCTACCTGGGTCATACCACCTCTATACCTGGGGGCTGACCTGGGGCAGAGAGGCCAGGCACAAGGGCACCCGCCTAGGACTCAGAGAGCCAGGCATCCTGCGGCCAACCTGGGATCCAGGGAAGATAGGCACCCAGTGTCTACTTGGGACAGAGAATATGGACACCAGGGAACCCACCTGGGAAAGAGCGTCTCCGCACCAGGGGTCCCACCTGCGATCAACAGAAGCTAGGCACCAGGAGTCCACCTGGGACAGAGAGGCCATTTACCCAGGAATCCACCTGGGACAGATGCCAAGCACCAGGGAACCCACCTGGGACAGAGAGGCCGGGCACCAGGAGGCCCTCCTTGGACAGAGAGCCCAGATATCAGGAGGCCAAAGTAGGGCAGAGAGGCCTGACACCCTGGAACCCATTAGATACAGAGAGGTCAGGTACAAGGGGGCTACCCTGGGATGGAGAGACCAAACACATGGGACGCACCTGGAGCAGAGAAGCCGTGCAACAGGGCCCCCACTTTGGACTGAGAATCAGGACACCAGGGGGACAATCTGGGCTAGAGCGTCCAGGTACCAGGGTGCCAGTAGGGATCCTCAAACGCCAGGCACCCTGTGTCCACCTGGGATAGAGGCTGGGCACCAGGGAACCCACCTGGGCAGAGAAATTGGGCACAATGGGTCCCACTGGGGTCATACCACCTCGATACCTAAGGGCTGACCTGGGGCAGAGAGGCCGTGCACTAGGAGGCCCACCTGGGACACAAAAAGCAGGCACCCAGTGCTCACCTGGGATTGAGACGCTGGGAACCAGGGAACCCACCTGGGAGAGAGGCGGGGCACAAGGAAGTTCACCAATGATGGAGTAACCGGGAATCCTGTGTCCACCGGGGACAGAGCTGGGCTGCAGGGAACCCACCTGGGGCAGAAAGGTCAGGCACCAGGGAGCCCACCTAGGACAGAGATGCCTGGCACCCCATGCCCTTCAGGACAGAGGGGCAGGGCACCAGGGGACCTACCTGGGGCGGAGAGGCTGGGCACCAGGAGGCCCACCTGGGGCAGAGAGGCCAGGCACCAGCTGGCACACCTGGGACATCCAAGCTGGACACCTGGGAGCTAACTTGGGGTATAAAGTCCAGGCACCTGGGTGCCCACTTGGGATACAGAGAAGCAAGGAGCCCAGTGTCCACCTGGGATAGAGGCATGGCACAAAGCAACCCACCTGGGGCAGAGAGGCTGGGCAACAGGGGCCCCAACCGGGACATCCTAATAGCACTCCTTGGGGCCGATCTGGGGCAGAGACGCCAGGCACCAGCGTGCCCACTGGGATCCAGTGAAGCCAGGAACCTGAGTCCACCTGAGACAGAGAGACCGGGGACAAGGGAATCCACCTGGGACAGAGAGAATGGGCACCATGGAACACAAGTGGGGCGTAGAGGCTGTGCACCAGGGGAAAGAGGCCACATAGTAGAGGGCCCACCTGTGACATCCAACCAGGGCACCAAGGGCCCTACCTGGGACATCGAACCAGAACTCCAAGGGTCCCACTTGGGCAGAGAGCCGTGGCATCAGGGGGACACCTGGGATCCAGAGAAGTCAGGCACCCAGTGTCTACCTGGGACAGAGAGGCTGGGCACCAGGGAACGCATCTGGGATTGACAGAAGCTAGGCATCCAGCGTCTACTTGGGACAGAGAGGTAGGGCATCAGGGAGATCACCTGGGGAAGAAAGGCCAGGCACCAGGGGGCCCACCTGGGATCCAGAGAAGCGAGGCACCCAGTGTCCACCTGGGATAGAAACTGGACACTAGAGAACCCACCTGGGTTAGAAAGGCTGGGCACTATCGGGCCCACCTGGGTCATAAAACCGGGACATCAGGGGAATGACCTGGGGCAGAGAAGCCAGGCACTGTGCGCCGACTTTGCATCCAGAGAAGCCAGGCACAGAGTGTCCACCTGGGACACAGACACTGGGCACTGGGAAACCCACCTGGACAGTGAGGCAAGGCCATAGGGTGTTTCTTAGGACAGAGAGGCTGGCACGAAGGAACCCACCTGGGAAAGAGAGGCCGGGAACTATGAGGGGACTCACCAATGACAGTGGAACCGAGTACCCAGTGTCCAGCAGGGACAGAGAAGTTGGGGTCCAGGGAACCCACCTGGGGTAGAGAGATCAGGCACTAGGGGGTTCAACTAGGAGAGAGATGCCAGGCACCTCACACCCACCTGGGACAGAGAGGCTGAACACCAGGGAACCTATGTGGGACAGAGAGTCTGTGCACTAATGGGTTCCCCTGGGGCAGAGAGCCTGGGCACCAGGGAACCCTCCTGTGACAGAGAGGCCAGGAACTAGGGGGTTCACCTAGGACAGAGATGCTGGGGCACCTCGGGGTCACCTGGTACACAGAGGCCAGGCACAAGGGAGCCACCTGGGACAGAGAGGTCTGGCACCAGGGTGCCTACCGGGGATCCAGAGAAACTAGGTCTCCAGTATCTACCCGGGACAGAGAGAGGTGGCACCATAGAAACCCCTTGGGACAGAGAGACTCAGAAAAGTGGGTTCACCTGAGGCAGAGAGTCTGGTTACTAGGGGCCCTACCTGGGACAGAGAAGCCAGGCACCAAGGGACACGCCTAAGATTCAGAGAGCCAGGCACCAGGGAGCACACCTGGGATCCAGGGAAGCCAGGCACCCAGTGTCTACTTGGGACAGAGAGGTTGGACACCAGGGAACCCACCAGGGACAGAGAATCCCTGCACCAGAGGTCCCACCGGCTATCAACAGAAGTTGGCACCTGGTGTCCACCTGGGACAGAGAGTTACCCAGAAACCCACCTGGGACAGACGCCAGGCACCAGGGAACCCACCAGGGACAGTGAGGCTGGGCACTCCAGGATTCACCTAGGGGAAAGAGACCTAGCACCAAGAGGCCAACTGGGTACAGCGAGGCCAGACACTAGGGAACCCATTGGGGCAGAGAGGCATGGCACCAAGGAGCCCACCTGGGATTCAGTGAAGCCAGGCACCCAGTGTTCACCTGAGAGAGAGAGATGCTCAGAACCAGGGAACCCACCTGGCACAGAGAGGCTGAGCACCAGGGGGCCTACCTCAGACAGAGTGGCTGGGCATAAGGTGGCGCACCTGAGTCAGGGAGGCCAGTCATCAGGAAATCCAGCTGAGGCAGAGACGCTGGGCAAAAGGGGGCCCATCTGGGGTAGAGAAGCCCGGGACCAGGGTGCCATCTGGGATCCTGAGACGCCAGACACCCTGTGTCCACCTGGGACACAGGCTGGGCATAGGCGGTTGACCTAGGACAGAGAGACCGGTCACCAGGGAACACACTTTGGAAACCGGAGAACCAGGGCCCCACATGGGATCCAGAGAAGCCAGGCACCCAGTGTCCACCTGGGAACAAGAGGCTTGGGACTATGAGGTTCACCTCGGGCAGAGAGGCTGTGCACCCAGGAGCCCATTTGGATTGGAGAACCTGAGCACCAGGAGGCACCCCTGGCACAGAGAAGTCAGGCACTAAGGGGTTTACCTAGGACAGAAAGGCCAGGCACCCCGGGCCCACCTGGTGCAGAGAGGTGAGGCACAAGGTTGCGCACTTGGGTCATCCAACCTGGACACCTGGAGGCTGACCTGGGTCAGACAGGCCAGGCACCAGGGTGACCACTTGGGATCCACAGCAGACAGGCACCCATTGTCAACCTTGGATAGAGGCTGGGTACCAGGAAACCCAACTGGACAGAGTGGTTGGGCACAATGGGGTCCACCTGGATCATACCACTGCGATACCTGGATGCGGACCTGGGGCAGAGAGGCCAGGCGCCAGGGGGCCCACCTGGAATCCAGCGAAACCAGGCACCCAGTGTCCACCTGGGAAAGAGAGGGCAGTCACCAGGAAACCAAGGCGACCACCTGGGGTGGAGAGGCCGGGCACCAGCGAGCCCACCTGGGGAAGAGAGGCGAAGCACAATGGGTCCCACCAGGGTCATACAACCGGGATACCTGGGGGCCGACTTGGGGCAGAGAGGTCAAGCACCAGGATGCCCACTTGGGATCCAGAGAAGCCAGGCACCCAGTATCCACCTGGGATAGAGGCTGGGCACCAGGGTACCCACCTGAGCAGAGAGGCTGGGCACAACGGGACCTACCTGGGTCATACCACCTCGATACCTGGGGACTGACCTGGGGCGGAGAGGCCAGGCACCATGGTGACCACTTGGGATCCAGAGCAGACAGGCACCCAGTGTCCCCTTGGGATAGAGGCTGGGCACCAGGGAACCCCCCTGGGGCAGAGAGGACGGTCACCACGGAACAAAACTGGGGCGTAGGGGCTGTGCATCAGGGGAAAGAGACCGTGTAGTAGGGGGCCCACCTGGGGCATCCAACCAGAGCACCAGGGACCCCCTTGGGCTGAGAGGCCAGGCATCAGGGGGACACTTGGGATCCTGAGAAGTCATGCACCCAGTGTCTACCTGGGACAGAGAGGCTGGGCACCAGGGAACCCATCTGGGATTGACACAAGCTAGGCACCCAGCATCTACTTGGGACAGAGAGGTTGGGCATCAGGGAGCCTATATGGGGAAGAAAGGCCTGGCACCAGGGGGCCCACCTGGGATCCAGAGAAGCAAGGCACCCAGTGTCCACCTGGGATAGAAGCTGGGCACTAGGGAACCCACCTGGATTAGCGAGGTCAGGCATAATGAGGTTCACCTGGGTCGTACCACCGGGACATCTGGGGAACGACCTGGGGCAGAAAGGCCAGGCACTAGGGTGCCAACTTGGGTTTCAGAGAAGCCAGGCACCCAGTGTCCACCTGGGACAGAGACATTGGGCACCTGTAAACCCACCTGGGACAGTGAAGGAGGGCACTAGGGTATTTCTTAGGACAAATAAACTGGCACCAATGAAACCACCTGGGAAATAGAGGCTGTGCACTAGGGGGCTCACCAATGACAGAGTGGCCGAGTACCCATTCTCCACCAGGGACAGAGAAGCTGAGGTCCAGGGCATCCACCTGGGGTAGAGAGGTCAGGCACTAGGGGGTTTACCTAGGGGAGAGATGCCGGGAACCTCACGCCCACCTGGGGCAAAGATGTTGGACACCAGGGAACCTACGTGGGACAGAGCGTCTGCGCACTAATGGGTTCCCCTGAAGCAGAGAGACTGGGCACCAGGGAACCCACCTGTGACAGAGAGGCCAGAAACAAGGGGGTTCACCTCGGACAGAGATGCCGGGCACCTTGGGGCCACCTGGGACAGAGAGGCCGGGTTCCAGGGTGCGCACCCGTGATCCAGAGAAAGGGCACCAGGGAACCCACATGGTACAGGGAGGTTGGGCACCAGGGTGCCTACCGGACATCCAGAGAAACTAGGTCCCCCATGTCCACCTTGGACAGAGAGGCTCGGCATCATGGAAACCACCTGGGACAGAGAGACTCAGAAAAGCGGGTTCGCCTCAGGCAGAGTCCGGTTACTAGGGCCCCTACCTGGGACAGAGAGGCCAGGCACCAGGGGACCTGACTAGGATTCAGAGATCCAGTCACCAGGGGGCCCACCTGGGATCTAGGGAAGCCAGGCACCCAGTGTCTACTTGGGACAGAGCTTGGACCCCAGGGAACCCACCTGGGACAGAGAGTCTCCGCACCAG